AGAGCTAGTGACGGATATTGCAGTTTAAGAGGTTTATTGTTTGGTATGATCTGTACTCTGCTTCGTTTGAAGAGCATTAAGGTGTTTGTCTCTGTGCAGTGTGTCTCTGTATGTGTGCTACGTGCTTCACAGTTACTGTGTCTCCAGAGACAATTAAACCATAACCAGAAGCTTCACACCTTTTGCAGTATGAAGGAGGGAGAGGGTGTGTTTTAAGCAACTGGGCTATCTTGGGTGTCAGCACTTGTCCTGGGGGCCTAGGGCAGGTGGGCTGAAGAGCTCCATTTCTGTGAAGGGATAACAAACTGAGAGCCAATGCCCAGACAATGTGCCAGAGACACCAGGGAGGACAAAGTTCTGCAGCCTGATGAGACCCAGAGAAGCTTAAAACACCCAGGAAGTCAGAGGCTAGATTACCCTCACAGCTTGTCTGGGGATCCAGTCACTTATGTGGGTTGCCCACCTATTGTTTTGCCTGTGGACTGCATGACCCGCCCATCTCTGCTTTGTAAGGCTCATGCCTAGAAGGGTTATACCAGATACATGCAGGGTTTCTGGGCAGACTGGCCCATAGTTCACACCCTTGGAAGATGTCTCCAGCCTACAGTTCCTACTGCCCCGTTTCATCCCATTTGCTTCTAGTTACACCCAATGTACCATAATAATAGTGTGCTCCTTGGTAGAACTTTTCATCTGTAGATTTCAAAGCACTTCACTAAGGTCGTTAGTATCATTATCCCCATTTTGCTGATGAGGAAACTGAGGTATAGAGAGGGGCTGTGACTTGCCCATGGTCACCCAGCTGGTCAGTGACAGAGCTGGGAATAGAACCCAGGTCTACAGAATCACAGTCTAGGGGGCTACCCTGCCTCTCTAAATAATGCCCCTCTCTTTCTTAACACTTATGTCCTTCAAATACCTGTAGCTATCCGCCCTCCTGTGGGCGTTTAGCCAAATTTGATTCTTTAGCTCTCAGTCCTTCCAGCCTCTAAATACTGTGTGTTGCTCTTCCCAGTACCGTACTACATGGCTCTGGTACTGCAGTGTCCCAGGCAATTGCATTCTGGTGCTCATGAGTCTACATAGGGCCTTGCGCTGTCAGTGTACCACCCAAAGTGCCATGTCCTATTCCCCTGGCAACAGCATGCCCTAGCAGAGTGTGAACTCTCCGCCTCTTGTTTGGATAGCTGCTTTTCAGCCTTACCTCCTGGGGCATGAAGGCGAGTCCACACAGGCCACAAGGGTGTGTGTGTGTCTGTCTGTCTCTGTCAGACAGGGTGGGTAAAGTAATATCTTTTATTGGAGCAACTTCTCTGGTTGGCTGTCTGTCTCCACTTTGGCAGGCAGGAAGTGGCAGGGTGGGTGCGGAAGAACAGTATAATACTTTCCGTAGGACCAGCCATGTGTCCAGAACTGAATGCAGCATCTTAGGGGCAGAGGTGCTTCTCATCACCGCTGCCTGCTTTTCTTCAAGCTGATTGTCTTACAGGCAAGGGGATGCAGACTGACTGAAGCCAGTGCAGTGGTTCGCTGCTCCTATGATGAATGGCATAAAGGCCAGTGAAAGCAAGGATTGTGCCCCCCCACTTCCTCTGCATGACTGCCATTCAGACATCCTCTCCAGCATGGCGGCCTCAGTGCCAATGCACTCTGCCTTGCAGAGATCAGGCATTACCCTGGACAGAGCTTCACACCTCTGCACTATGGTATCTGTCAAAACAAGGATGAAGAAAAGAAGGCCAGGATACCATGTTGCTCTGTCCTGCTGAGCTAATGGTTGGGTTTGGGCACCATGAATTTGCCCTTCCCTCTCCCACTGACACTGCAACATTTTTGGACAAGGCAACAGACAACCCCTGCACACCAGCAGAGACGACATCCTTCTCAATGGGAATTTGAGTAATGCAGTAGCTACAAGGGGACTGTATAATCAAATGGACTCTTACTTTACACAGAAAAGAAAAGGAGTACTTGTGGCACCTTAGAGACTAACCAATTTATTTGAGCATGAGCTTTCGTGAGCTACAGCTCACTTCATCAGATGCATACCGTGGAAACTGTAGCAGACTTTATATATACACAGAGAATATGAAACAATACCTCCTCCCACCCCACTGTCCTGCTGGTAATAGCTTATCTAAAGTGATCATCAGGTGGGCCATTTCTAGCACAAATCCAGGTTTTCTCACCCTCCACCCCCCCACACAAATTCACTCTCCTGCTGGTGCTAGCCCATCCAAAGTGACAACTCTTTACATAATCAAGTCGGGCTATTTCCTGCACAAATCCAGGTTTTCTCACATCCCCCCCACCCCCATACACACACAAACTCACTCTCCTGCTGGTAATAGCTCATCTAAACTGACCACTCTCCAAGTTTAAATCCAAGTTAAACCAGAACATCTTGGGGGGGGGGGGGGGGGGTTTAGAAAAAAACAAGACTTCCTGACTTCCACTGACTTCCTGAGGAAACTTCAATCCATCGGTGATCTTCCTGATAACACAATCCTGGCTACTATGGATGTAGAAGCCCTCTACACCAACATTCCACACAAAGATGGACTACAAGCCGTCAAGAACACTATCCCCGATAATGTCACGGCTAACCTGGTGGCTGAACTTTGTGACTTTGTCCTTACCCATAACTATTTTACATTTGGGGACAATGTATACCTTCAGATCAGCGGCACTGCTATGGGTACCCGCATGGCCCCACAGTATGCCAACATTTTTATGGCTGATTTAGAACAACGCTTCCTCAGCTCTCGTCCCCTAAAGCCCCTACTCTACTTGCGCTATATTGATGACATCTTCATCATCTGGACCCATGGAAAAGAAGCCCTTGAGGAATTCCACCATGATTTCAACAATTTCCATCCCACCACCAACCTCAGCCTGGTCCAGTCCACACAAGAGATCCACTTCCTGGACACTACAGTGCTAATAAACAATGGCCACATAAACACCACCCTATACCGGAAACCTACTGACCGCTATTCCTACCTGCATGCCTCCAGCTTTCACCCTGACCACACCACACGATCCATCGTCTACAGCCAAGCTCTGCGATACAACCGCATTTGCTCCAACCCCTCAGACAGAGACAAACACCTACAAGATCTCTGTCAAGCTTTCTTACAACTACAATACCCACCTGCAGAAGTAAAGAAACAGATTGATAGAGCCAGAAGAGTTCCCAGAAGTTACCTACTACAGGACAGGCCTAACAAAGAAAATAACAGAACGCCACTAGCGGTCACCTTCAGCCCCCAACTAAAACCCCTCCAACGCATTATTAAGGATCTACAACCTATCCTAAAGGATGATCCAACACTCTCACAAGTCTTGGGAGACAGGCCAGTCCTTGCCTACAGACAGCCCCGCAACCTGAAGCAAATACTCACCAACAACCACATACCACACAACAGAACCACTAACCCAGGAACTTATCCTTGCAACAAAGCCCGTTGCCAATTGTGCCCACATATCTATTCAGGGGACACCATCACAGGGCCTAATAACATCAGCCACACTATCAGAGGCTCATTCACCTGCACATCCACCAATGTGATATATGCCATCATGTGCCAGCAATGCCCCTCTGCCATGTACATTGGTCAAACTGGACAGTCTCTACGTAAAAGAATAAATGGACACAAATCAGATGTCAAGAATTATAACATTCATAAACCAGTCGGAGAACACTTCAATCTCTCTGGTCACGCAATCACAGACATGAAGGTCGCTATCTTAAAACAAAAAAACTTCAAATCCAGACTCCAGCGAGAAACTGCTGAATTGGAATTCATTTGCAAATTGGATACTATTAATTTAGGCTTAAATAGCCACTCCCAGTCTCTAAGTCATTATGCAAGGTAGCCTGATTCCTCTTGTTTTTTTCTACCCCCCCCCCCCCGATGTTCTGGTTTAACTTGGATTTAAACTTGGAGAGTGGTCAGTTTAGATGAGCTATTACCAGCAGGAGAGTGAGTTTGTGTGTGTATGGGGGTGGGGGGGGATGTGAGAAAACCTGGATTTGTGCAGGAAATAGCCCGACTTGATAATGTAAAGAGTTGTCACTTTGGATGGGCTAGCACCAGCAGGAGAGTGAATTTGTGTGGGGGGGTGGAGGGTGAGAAAACCTGGATTTGTGCTGGAAATGGCCCACCTGATGATCACTTTAGATAAGCTATTACCAGCAGGACAGTGGGGTGGGAGGAGGTATTGTTTCATATTCTCTGTGTATATATAAAGTCTGCTACAGTTTCCACGGTATGCATCTGATGAAGTGAGCTGTAGCTCACGAAAGCTCATGCTCAAATAAATTGGTTAGTCTCTAAGGTGCCACAAGTACTCCTTTTCTTTTTGCGAATACAGACTAACACGGCTGTTACTCTGAAACCTTACTTTACACAGAGTGTTGTACAAATATTAATTAATTAATTATCTGTTCCCCCATTCCTGCTCCAGCCATTCTGCCAATGTCCTTCTGGAGCACACTGTTCGGTTACTTTGGATAATGGTGAGAGCTGAAACAGAGGGAAGAAGAGAAAAACTGAGGGCTTAAAGCAGCTGGTGCTATTAGTTAGAGGGCCATGTTTTAATCCAGTCCATACCTAATCCAGGGCATTTTTGTCGTTAGAAATAAACTTTTCCCATGAGTAGAACATGTCTTAAAATCTTAGATATTTTTTGTACATTGCCCAAACCCAGTGCAGTGTCTTCTATAAAAGCCTCTGTACTGGATTAAGGATTTGGGAAGGGACTTGGGGGCTTTGCTCTGTTGCAGATTATGGGAGCTTTTGATTATTCAAAACCATACTTTAAAAAACAGTTTAAAGCCAAGATGATAGAGCAAGATTCTAATCTGACGCTCAAATAGGTCATTCTGAGCTTTGAGCTCATTTGCCTTGCAAAGCTGAAAAGCTCAATACTTTGTTGATGAGAACTAGATTCCCCCGCCCCACTCAGTTAAATTAAGATCTCATCAGAAAGGGAAGTTGGTTGATATTCTCTGTCAGAGCCTCTACCCAAACCACTGGAGGAGACAAACAGTGCCTCCCAAATAATGGGGCCCTACAGCATCTCTATGAAGAGCTATGACATGGTAAGTCATGCACGACTCTTTGTTTTTGCAATGTCCACGTGTTTAGGTTGAGGATTCTGGGGGGGTGGCAGATCTTATATCTGGGCTGAGGAGCTTGGCTTTTAATCTCTCCCACCCACAAACACATACTTTCTCCCTTTCGTTAAGATACATTTGGTCTCAAGCTAAAATTTTAAACCATTGTAGTTGGACTCCAAAGCACCTATTTAGGCATGTTTTTGTCAGCTGCAGGAGGTGCAGACGAGAATGCTAGCCCTTCTCACATGCTATGGTTACTGATGCCATATCTTTAAATTGTTTTCTTCAGTGGTTGGCTCTATAATTCTTTTGCTGTGGGTGCTGGGATTGCAGCCTCTGTTCTTGTGGCCGAAAGGCTCATTCTGAGATGGTAGGAATCAGATGTGTCTCCTTCCTAGGTTAACTTGCTTAGAGAGAAGCCCACCTTGTGTAGTCATTTAAACAAGCAGAGAGTGGGTTTAAAACACGTATTCTGACTTGACAGCATTTTACACCACCGTGCACTGGTGTAAATGATCAAACCCACTAACTTTAACAAACAGGAGTAACTGGATAATCTACAGGTTTCAGAGGAACAGCCGTGTTAGTCTGTATTCGCAAAAAGAAAAGGAGTACTTGTGGCACCTTAGAGACTAACCAATTTATTTGAGCATGAGCTTTCGTGAGCTACAGCTCACTTCATCAGATCTGATGAAGTGAGCTGTAGCTCACGAAAGCTCATGCTCAAATAAATTGGTTAGTCTCTAAGGTGCCACAAGTACTCCTTTTCTTTTTACTGGGAAACATGGAAGACCTACATCCCACAATATCAATTGTATACTCACATCCCTGCCTGCATTTTATCCTTTCCTATGTGTGGGTCGGCTTGCAGAGCCTGCCTGAGGGCAGTTCTGTAGCATATTTATATTAGTGTTTTTTTACTGGGAGAGAAGCTATACTACAAATATCCTAGGTTTGAATTATGACACAGTATATTCCATCCTCTAATTAGCCTTGTAAATTGAAAACAATAATATCTTTGAAAAGATGATTGTTCCATGCTAAGGAAAGCTCACATCAGATTTGCCACAAAGCCTGGCTTTTAAATAGAGTGACTCAGAAGTTTTTCAACCTTTTTTTTTTAATTTAAAGATGACTTTTCGAAGGAAATTGTTTTGTTTCTGTTCAAATCAAAACATATTAATTCCATTTAGGTTTAATTTTTCTCCTTACCTTTTTCTCCCTTGTTTCCTTTGGGGGGGATAGTGAGAAAAGCAGCCCTCACCTCCCCCCAAAAAACAACAAACCCCAGAACAATTTTTGATTTGTTTAGTTGAAAAATCCTGTGAAAACTTTAAAACAAAATGAACCATTATTTTTGTCACAATTTTTTTGCAAACGATACTTCCCATTCTTTGATCACCCTGACCTCTCCTTTTAAATGAAAGGCTCAAGCAGGAGAATCGTGGTGGTAGAGTTTAGCTGGGGGTAAAGCAGAGCTCACTCCCTAATGAAAAAAGTGAAAAGTGGGAGCAGCATCTCCACTGCAGCAGCACTGGCTGAGTGCAGGGGCAAAGCCCGGGGGGCGGTGGTCAAGGTACAGAATCCAGTGGGGAAGCTCTGCAGAACAACTCTTAGTGGAATCTTAGACCAATTCTGATTGTTTTTTTTTCACTCTCCTCCCAGTTATATGCCTGATGTATAAATTATCCTATTGGCAGAAAAACAGTTAAGATTGGTGTCGTGTCCTTACTGCTTAACCTGCCCAGGTCCAGATAGGGGATGTAGTCTGAAACAGACACAAAATTATTCATGCAAGGAAATTAAAGTGCTGTGGGATTTGTTCCTTGGTTGTGAATAACTTTCCAGAACTTCAGCTCCATGACTTTATCTCAGCTGTAAATGATATTCAACTGTGAGGGGAACACCAGATCTGTGTGGAACATGGATGACTTTGGGACTGAAGAGATGGGCAGTTGTGAGGTAGAGTAGAATTAGTTTAATGTCCTCCTAGGAGTTGAGGGAGGCTGAACTTGATGAACTAATAGGGGGATGTTTTTTCCATCTCTATTTTCTAGGAGCCTCTTAAGCAGAAAGCCTGAGGGATTGCATTAAATAAATGTAATCTATCTATCTTCCTGCAAGGGAAGATACACACACAATTAGTGCCATGTTTGGCTTGCCCGTTCTATTTTACATGTAATTCCCCATCATTACACACAAATACCCACAGCAGTGACAAACAGAAAATATTACATAATCCTCCTGTTCTATTCCTTCCTCCTTCCTTATTTTTAGGTCCCTTTTTTCCTCTACTAGAGCAGTGGTTCTCAAACTTTTGTACTGGGGACCCCTTTCACACAGCGTGACTCCCCCCCCCCTTATAAATTAAAACCACTTTTTTATATATTTAACACCATTATAAATGCTGGAGGCAAAGTGGAGTTTGAGGTAGAGGCTGACAGCTTGCAACCCCCCCCCATGTAATAACCTTGTGACCCCCTGAGGGGTCCCGACCCCCAGTTTGAGAACTCCTGTAGTACAGGCTTCTGTGTGTGCACACGTTTTCCCAGCAAATCCGTTCTTAAAGCAAAATTTTGAGTCCCTGGCCAAGCGGCAGGAGTTGGAGAGAGCATATTGGCACTATGAGTCATGGGGACTAATCTCTGCCCCTATCATATTGAAAGCTGTAAGGTCCCTCACATCTTTGTTCTAATAGCCCTAGTGTGTCACACTCTATGCAACTCTTGTAGCTGCGCTCCAACCCCTTTCTGCTTCAGCTTGGATTAGCAATACCTAAATGCTTTGTCTCTTTGACTCATCTCTGTCTGCTTCCACCCACACTCGCTACTCTCTCCCAGCCTGAGATGTACATGGGAGGACAGCTCAGTCACTGCACTGTGCACATTTCCCAAGCCAAAGGCGAGTGGCTTACAGTAAAAAACAAACAATACCCTACCTGTCACCTTATCAGAGATGAGATGGTGGCAGATAGTGGTGCTCGAGTGCAGCGTCTTCTGTTGTAAACGCAAGGTGATACTGACAGCCACTCGCTGCAGTTAAAACGGTTTAGCACTGCACAGTCACTGCCCATGTTTTGAAGGGTTGCTATCCTTTTGTTTTGACACCATGCTGCGCTCTTGTGATTAACCCTGCATTCCCAAATTGTTCTGCGCATCTCCTCCTCCCTCTGATGCTTGAAACCCCTCCAACCCTTTCCTGGTTCTTGGGGAGCCTGTTTTCTTTTGCTAAGGGAAAATCTAACTTTTTAGAGAAGGAACCTTGTATGCATTTAATGAGATGCTGTGCACATTCACAGTCCACGTTAATAGTACAAAGAAAAGGAGTACTTGTGGCACCTTAAAGACTAACAAATTTATTTGAGCATACGCTTTCGTGAGCCACAGCTCACTTCATCAGATCTGATGAAGTGAGCTGTAGCTCACGAAAGCTTATGCTCAAATAAATTTGAGCTGTAGCTCACAAAAGCGTATGCTCAAATAAATTTGTTAGTCTCTAAGGTGCCACAAGTACTCCTTTTTGTGAATACAGCCTAACACGGCTGCTACTCTGAAACCTGTTAATACAGCAGCAGCTGGTGGGCTGCAGATGGCATAGATCCTGAGGGCCCTCTGAAACAAGATCTCCTTAATGATGTATTTGTCAGGCAGGAGGTCATATAACCACCCCAGCATTGGGTTAGCTCTTGGGCATTGACCCTTGCCATAGTCAGTGCTATTAGCACAAGTTCCATGGGCATCATTAACTCCTGGTATGTACGCGAGATGGGCAATTGCTAGGACATATTTTTAGGAACAGAAAAAGTTGAAATTGAGGGTAGTTTAAAGACTCCCTTTGCCATATCTCCTCCTTCACAGCTATTGGTTTTGCAGAGTTTTAGTTAGTGGAGGTGAGTGTTGGTCCCTCCAGGCTGGTGCCCTGCTGTAGCTTTAGATGAAGGCAGAAAACCCGACCAATTGTGTGGACTGGATTGGGGGTGTTTGTGGTTTCTTTCCTGACCTTTCGGCCTATTGGCATCTCCCAAGAGGAGGCACTGGGGAGACAAGAGTAAAGCAGCACCAGCACCCTGCTATTTTCCAAAACTGCACTTTAAAGATTCGTGTGAGTGCACAGCAGCTACAGCTCTCTGCCACAGTGCAACGTCCCATGGGTTGCTCTCTACGGGTGAGAAGCTAACAACATGCCATTGCCTTAAGTGAGGCCTTCACTTGCTACAGCCAGAGATAGCTTGTGTGTGTTTCAGGGGGGTGTCCCCAATCAGGGAGCTTTCTGCCTCTGCCATATGGCCTTGGGTCTCATGACTGGGGGGATTCACACTCACTGTATTTCACAGGACAGTTGAGATGTTTCTTTAAAAAAAAGCAACCAAAAAAAGAAAAAATAGCTCTGAAAACAGCTCAAGCAGCACTAGTATTTAGCGAATGGGGGAAGGTGCAGCAGGTGCAGGCAGCTACAGCTGGCAGTGAAAGGTATGAAAACAGCGAGCAGAAACTTCCGCTGTGGTCAATGCAAGAGTCTCCAGAGTAGGTGTTTGGGAGGGGTAGAGCGCTCAGTGTGACTGCAGGGGAACCCTTACCATCTTCTAGTTAGTATTTGTTGAGCTGTCTGACATTTTTGCCATGAGCCTTTGCTCTGCCCTTTGTTCCTCTTCTCCTCATTGATTTCTACCCTCCCCTTTTCTCCTCTTTTTCTGAGCACCCTTGTTTTGGCAAGCATTAGGCTCTGTCCATTGCCTGCCTGGAGCAGCACAGGACAGTCAGAGCATATGCTCCACGGTGATGGTGGGCTTTGCCAGAGCTGCCAGCTTTCTAGTGCTAAGGTTTTGATTTGATTTCTGCTTTGAATAAAAAACTTGGTGTGTGATACAGCTCCGTGGGTGCCAAAAGGACTATAAAAGCAAGGAGGGCAAGCCCCCCCACCTGCAGGATCTTCTTTAAGTCCCTGCCCTCCCTCACTCCTTACCCTCCTTGCTGGCAAGCCTGAGGCCTTTGGGTAGTGGGTCTGTTCTGCTTCCCAAACCTGGCTAGGCCCCGGCCCCTAGAAGCCACTGCTGTGGTTTCAGCCACCAACAGGTGAGGGGCCAGCTGCAGGCATGCAAGACAACACACAACAGGACCTGACCAGCTGCTGCACGTGCCACAAGGCAGAGCAGAACCCAGCTGCCGCTAGCCAGGCACAGTGTGCTCCCTCTCAGCCAGGTTCTTAAAAAGTAGGAGGCAATGGCCCTCCCATCTCCAGTGCCTACGCATAGCTCGCTCCACTGGCCAGCTGCTGCATTGTTCCCAGTGCAAATCTCACTTTGTGTGGCAGCATCAGAGCCTGCATATTGGGCGTGGACCTGATATCACAAACTCCCAGCAGGAGTTCAGCCCAAGGGGCTCAGACAGACATCGTGTCACACTGCGGGACACTACTGAGTCCAGAGGAGTGGCAATACATCCTCCGTCTCAAGACGCAGCATGCTTTGTAATAGCTCTACAGACAAATCAAAGAAAGTCCTTGCCTGGGGCCAGTGTGTGAAGGTAGTTTTGGGAACAGAATATGGAATTAACATGGTAGAAAATGACAGAAAAATTAATTAGAGGGACACAACCAAGCCAGGTGAAATGGGCAACACAATGGTGACTAAAGTTCAGTGTTGATAAGTACAAAGTAATGCACATAGGAGGGGAAAATGTACTATTCATAGACCGTACAGGGTTCTGAATTAACTGCATCAACTCAGGAAAGGGCGTGAGGGTGGCCAGCTCGATGGAGGGCTCTGCCCAGTGTGCAGCAGTGGTCAGAAAGCAAACAACCTGTGAGTGTCAACAAGGAATAGGGTGGAGAATAATATGGAGAATATTCTAATGCCTCTATGTAAACCAACAAGATATCCTCCTCCAGACTAGGGTCTAATCTCGTCTGGCATTTCCTATGTAATGGTTGGGCTTTCTCCTGGGAAATGGCTGTACAGAAACTGCAGCCTGTAATGGGATTCTCCTCCTGTTCTGCAGAATTTGCTGGGGGAATTCAGTGACTATGACAATGACAACACCACAAGATCCTATGAGGACTACTTTTGTCCAGATACAGTCTTGTCTCCAGCTGGCGATCCCACACATCCTTTCAAGAAGATCTTTGTGCCCTTAGTCTACCTTCTGATATTTCTTCTGGGGACCTTGGGCAATGCCCTGGTGTTGATCATCCTGGAGCGCTACAAGCGTGCCCGCACTACCACTGAGAACTTCCTCTTTCATCTGGCCCTGGCCAATCTGGTGCTAGTGCTCACCTTGCCTTTTGGTGTGGCCGAGAGCTTGACTGGCTGGATCTTCGGCACTTTCCTCTGCAAAGTCCTCAGCGCTGTTCATAAGATCAACTTCTACTGCAGCAGCATGCTTCTAGGCTGCATCAGTGTGGATCGCTACCTGGCCATAGTGTATGCTATCCACACCTACAGGAAGCGCAGAGTCAGGTCTATCCATCTCACTTGCCTGGCCATTTGGTTCATCTCCCTGGTGCTGACCTTGCCCGATCTAGTGCTCATGGAGGTCTGGTCAGACAAGAGCAACCACAGTGTCTGCAATTTCCAGCAAGTTGGGATTCATGGCAGCAACATGTGGCTGGCCACCCGCTTCCTGTATCACATTGTGGGTTTCTTCGTGCCCCTGCTGGTCATGTGCTACTGCTATACAGCCATTGTGAGGACCCTGTGCCAGTCCCAGCGGCTGCAGAGGCAGAAGGCCGTGAGAGTGGCCATCCTGGTCACAGGGGTGTTCTTACTCTGTTGGAGCCCTTATCACATGGTCATCTTTTTGGACACGCTAGACAAGCTAGAAACCTTACCGAGCGATTGTGCCTTGGCGGACCAGCTGGCCACCAGCATCATGGTGACAGAGGTGATTGGCTTCACACACTGCTGTCTCAACCCCATCCTCTATGCCTTTGTCGGAGTCAAGTTCCGCAACGACTTCTTCCGGATTCTCCGTGACCTGGGCTGCATAAGCCAAGAGACCCTGCAGGAGATCCTTGATGTGACGAGGAAGAGCAGTGGGATTGAGTCGGACACCATCACTTCTGTCAGCACTTTCTAGTGAGGAAAGAACTGGGCACGGGGCTGAGATAGACCTTGGTGTTCCTGGCCAGCAGAGCATGTAATGCCCTTGGAACAGGACTCAGCTCTGCGCCTCAGTATCATCCCTACCACTTCTCTCCTTTCCACAAGAAACTGAGGTCTAAAGGGCACCATTAAAACAGCAAATACTTGCCAGCTGTTACCACATATTTACTTCCTGTGCTAAATATGTGGAGAAATGGTTTGTGGTAGCCCTTGGCAAATACTGACTTTACATAGCAACTACTGCAAAGGGGCTGGCTGGGACCCTAGCAAGTTAGCTGTGATACTGCATCCTCCCCACTGGAGGAGCCCCAGTGTGCAGAGCCAACCACAGAATTGGGCCCTTAGAAAGCGACAAACAGGAAATTCCAGATGATGGAGAGATTTTTATCAGAGAAATGGAAGAGCATGATTTAGTCTGTGCTGCTTATTAAGGTGCTCAGAAGAAAGTGATATAGCCCAATTATTGCTTTTAATTAGAAACAGTTCTATGTTTAATGAAAGTTATGTAAAATATGAAGAAGTTTAGAGTATGTTTCAGTTACTTGGGCACATAGCTGCATGTTACTCACCATTCTGGTCAATACAAAGGTCTGGACACTGTTTTTCTGACTGCATCACAGAATCTGGAAGTAGAAGAGGCCTGTGAGGCAGCCAGCCCATCTCCTCCAGCAAACGTGGGGTTGTCTCCTGTTGTGCCTTTCCTGGGACTTTGGGCAGGTTGGGTGCCTTGATCCCACATGGTGGTGTTTCTGCAACTCACATTGGGAGACTCTTCCATAGGCCCAAAGACTTTACTGTCAGGAATTTCTTTCCTGCCCATAAGCTGCACATTTTCTCTCTCACTTTCAATCCATTTTATTGCTATTAATAATTCCAATTACTGACTTACTGGAACTAATTGATTTCCTTTGAGGGTGAATATTCTCTGAGCAGGCCCTGTCCAGCCTTGTAACTGAATGGTGGCACAGACCTCTCCTACTTTGATTACTAGTGGGGGGGGGGAAGGGAAAGAAGGCTGAATGTGTTACTGATTTGTTTTGTGGTTCAGTTGCTGTATCTCTTGGGTGCTGAGAGCAAGAATTCCCGTTATTCCAGAGTAAAACAGAACATGGAAGGAGAAGAGTTGTTGGGGGGCAGGGGGAGGGTTTGTGGGGGGGGTTTTCAGGGGCAGACAAGGGAAAGTTTTTTTTGCTATGCTTTGTACTGTGCTTTCAGGCATTCTAGCTCTACCTGCATCGACCGTGTTTTTAAAAATTTCGCTTATTAGATTTTAGGGAGAAAAGATCTGAACTTTGACTTCATACCAGAGTTGTGGGTACCCAGCAGCTCTCAGGATCAGGCCTACTCCACACAGACATGCACCAAACTAACAGCAACAGCTTTAACCCACAGCTGGGGTTATTTCAGTGCAAGTCTGTGTGTAGAGCAGCCATAAGGGACTCTATCCCTGTTGATGTGATAACAGCTAATGGAAAACAGCAGTTAAACAATGTGTAGGCAATGCTGCTGCTTTCTTTGTTTTTCTTAATAGGTAAAGTGTTACTTTGGCTTGAAATGTATGTTATAGTTCTGTCTAAAAAGCCACTGGCCACCATTCATCCCAGGCACAACCTAACCACAAATACATTGGTAAAAATCTGCTCCAAAATTAACCTGCTTTGCTAGGCAAAACTAAAACTATTTCTGCTGATCAGTATTAATTTCAGTGTTGTCAAACTGCCCATGTGGCAGGGTGGATGTTTGAGCTTTGTGCTAGGGTCACTAATAGCAGTCACCCAATAACAAAGAGACCAACTTCAGTTCACTCACCCCTTTCCAGAAAAATGATCTGTCAGAAGAAGAATCTGTAGGGGAATGATCCATATTTAAAGGATCACTTCTGGGCTAAATTCAGCCCAAAATGGAGGATCAGTGAAGCCTTTTACTAACTCTAAACCCAACAGGAAAAGTCCAAGGTTTAGAGGGTGTTTTTTTTAAATTCCAAGGGATGTAACTTTAACAAAAATAAAAAACAATCAAACATTCCCTGCGGTGTTCACAGCAAAGCCATTGAGGACCCCAGTGAAGCTGATGAGGTTGTTCTTATTGTCCAAGCAGGGAGAAATGCCGAAAAGTTTGTTTAAATTGTGCTACTGGGGCAAAGTCTAGCTAGAGTTCATACATTATTTCAGTGTTCATAACTGAAAGGGGATATTTTGAGAGGCTTTATTTTTTTTTATGATTGCTTATATCTTGTGTCCCTATAAACTCACCATAAATTGTCTGCTTTTTTTTAAATGAACTATGATTAATTAAATAAAGTACTTTTTCCACGTTGCATGTCTCATGCTTCTGCAGAAAGTCAGCTGCAGTTTTCAATATTCTGAAACACAGACAGATCAGAGAGACCAATTAATAGCTGCTGGCTGGTCAGATGTCTTTCTGACAAGTTCTGCATGGAGATAAAAGGAGCCTTTCATGTGTTGCTTATGAGGCTCACTGGAATTTGTTCTTTTCACTAGTGCTGCAGAAGGCTCTCTTATTTTAGGGCATGTGTAAGATCCAGGTTTAGCTCAGTTTTTTTAACAAGGCCTGCCTAGAGCACCCATCACCACAGTACTGAGACATCAGCTAACCTTAATAGGTTACCATAATCTACTTTATTCAAGTTTCAGATCTGCCAACTCATAGCAGAGTTAGACTCAAAGCTCAGCTGCTTTAATTAAGAAAAAAAAAACTGGAGGTTGTTTCATAGGAGAGGTCTTATTAAAGTGCTCACAGTGTATTAGGCCCAGGGAGAGTTGGTGCTCCCAGGTTTCCATAATCGCTGTAAGAGCAGTCTGGTGGCCTTGGTCATGTCACATAGCCTTTCTGCCTTTGTTGACCATCTCCAAAATAGGGATAATGCACCGCACTGCAGCCCAGTCTTGCAGACCCATGGCTATCTTGTGACAACTCAGATCAAGGAAAGAGTGAGACAAAGAAAGAGGGGCTTCACCAGGGCTTAAATTCAGCTGGAGCCAGCAGCGTGGAGCTCTGATAAATATTTTCAAACCTGCAGAGGCACCAGGGCTAAAGTCCCAAGCCCTGGCGCCCCTTCTCCTCCCTACCACCACCAGGCTAAAGCCTGGAGCCCCTAATGGGGTGGGGTGCTCCAGGAAATAATCTTTGAGAATTTAAGCCCGGGGCTTCACCAAAACACACAGGAAGCTGGACATCGAATGCAGCAGAGTCTGTAACAGCTGTGAGTCTGTTACATGCCCGAATCTCTGAGCAGCTCCAAACAGGGCAGAGGAGCAGTGATCATGTAAGAAATAGCTTCTCTAGACTGAGAGCTGGACCTGCCCCTAGCCCATACCTGAACAACTGGGATAGATGGGCCTCTGGGTCTTTTCCCAGATAGAATCCAAGGCTCAACCTGGCAGCACACATTGATTGGCAGCTTTCAAAAGGGCACTGTTACCAAAGTTTGCCAGTCAACAGCACAGGGACACAAGTGTACATACAGCAGAGCACCCACTAGGACGTGTATCTTGAAGACCGAGTGTTACTGCACAAGGTGAGTAACTTCTTTCTGCATGCCAACTGATAATACCATGGGCCCCTGTAACAGGGTTGGCACCTGCCCTCTGGTTGGGTGTGTCAGTGGTCTTTAAACCAGTCCAGCCCTGATGTTGGGCTGTATTCCCCAGGGCTTCCTCCCTGGAGACACTATCTTCCTGTGGCCCTTCCCAGGCTCAGTCCCTACTCGGTGTCCGCAGCCAGTCTGGAGCTCCTTCATTGAGCCACCAGGCCCTGCTAGCAAACTGTCTTTGGCTCAGTCCTAGCAGCCAGCCAGGAGCCTCTCGCTCCCCCATTCCCTGCCCCCACTTTGCTGTCCATTGTGCTGTAGATCCCTCAGCTAGACAGGCATGCAGTCCTTTCTTCTCCAGGTCCAGCAGCAACTAACTGCTGCGCTGGTCTGCAGCTTTTTTTATATGGCCCTCCTGGGCGGCTGCTTCCCCTGCAGCCACTCTAGCCTGCTTGGGGGACTGCTCCACTGCTCCTCAGCTGGGATGAGTGTGGCAGGCCCCTGAGGCCACCAACAAGGGGCCTCTGGGCCTAGTCCACCCCATTACACCCACAGAAAGGGGGCAGGGGGTTTCCTCATGTTGTTTCACTTGACTTAACTATTCTAGGGGCCAGTGAGTGGGTGAGACTCCTTCTCTAGGCCAGTCCAGTGACTCCTGTAGATTGTGGGAAATGCTGGGTCAGAACACCCACACAGGTCTGTTAAGAGAAGGCTTGACTAACCCTTTCCTGTAGCCCACGTCTGCACCCTAAACTTTAGGCTATCATGATGAGGTTGTTCCTCATTGTTGCCCCTTGAAGCCGTTCCACTTGAATTAACTATTCTTTGGGCTAGCCCATGGGCAAGACTCCCTCTGCAACCTGGTGGTTAGGTTACATGCCTGGCCTGTGGGAGATGCTGGTTCAAATTATCCCTGGGCCTGTGGAGAAGCAGTTTGAAGAGGGTTCTCCTGCAGCCATGGTGTGTGGCCTGGGCTTTGAAGGATAGTGATAAGGGACTCCCTCACTCTTGCCTTCTGAAGCTATTCCAATTGATTTAACAATTCTTCAGGCCAGGCCAAAAGTCAGAATTACGCTATAGTCTGGTATTTAGGGTATTCACAGCTGGGTTGGTGGAGATCCTGGTTCAAATCTCCATTCTGCCTGTTCGGCCAGGGATTGAATTTCCTCCCTCCCAGGTGATTGCCCTTTGCAGTGGGACATCCTTGTCTGAACCCCCTCCCTTTCTCAGGAGGCCATTCCCACCTTGGGACAGGGAGAGGATTTGGACAGGGCTTGCCCACCTCTGACTCTCCCTGGAAGGTGGGAGCCCCCAGTTCACACCCCTCAGCAGAGAAGGGGAGTCACCTAGGGTCTGCCACAGCCTGGCTGTATATCCTAGCCCCTGGGGATAAAAGTTATTTAGGTATTTTCTCATTAATTAAACCAGCAGGACCTGCTCTGTTTAGTTCAGAGTCAATATTGCCTGCACCTCAGGCACCACATCCCCTCCACTGAGGCGGAGGGGGGGATTTGAACCAGGGTCACTAACATCCCAGAGAAGTGCTCTAACTGCCATACCATCAAGAACTGTGGAGGCAGACTTTGGCCCGGTAATTATGTAGTTAAAGTTGACTAGTGTCAATAGAAAAGACTAAGGAAACCCCATCTCAGAATACCTCCCAGTCCAGCACTTAGGTCCTTCACGTGAGAGGTAAGAGAGTCTGTTTCAAATTCCATCTCAACAAGCACAAAAGGGATTTGAACCAGGAACTCACCCATTCTGGAGCACATACCAAAACCACTGGACTATCAAAGGATTCACAGCCTGAGTTTGACCCAATTATTTAGTGGCAGCGGGACCAGCTTCACCAGGAAAGACCAAGGGAGCTCCCACATCAAAACACCTCCCACTCTGGCACTTAAGCCATTCACTGGAGCTAAGAGAATAAAGTTCAAATCCCAGCTCAGCAAGCAGAAAGGGGGTTTGAATCAGCAACTCCTATGTTCTTAGCCAGGAATGTAATGCATAACTTGTGTCTCAATATATTGAAGTCTGCTGCACTAGCTCTGTGTGCAGAGTTGGGACAGCACATGGAAAGGACACACACACGTATGCCAACTGACATCATTTGCAATCAGAGAGTGAAGATTATTTTGTAGCCTTTGACTACTAGCTCCAATGTAGCAGCCAGAGAATAAAGCCAACACTGCTCCTTTCCTTCACTGCTTCTGCCCAGCAGGAGCATGAGGGAGACTGGCTCAGGAACATCCATGGCTCTCTGCAGTTCTGAGAGAGCAGAGAGCTTAGACACACATGATTTATGGTGCAGAGAGCTAGGCTGACAGCAGGCCAGGGAGGTAATGGGCTCTTTTATTGCCTCATGGTAGCTGTTTCAAAGTGAATGGAGAGGATGAACTACCCAAAAAGCAGCAACAGAGGGTTAGCCAGTGGCCCAGCTCAGCAGGACTCGGACATATAGCTGCTAGTTGCTGTTTGGTAGAGCCCCAGCGAAGAACTGGCTTGGACACATGCTTTTCTTCTGGTTGTTTTCTCCAAATTATGTTTGTTGAGCTCCAGATTATG